GCATGTGTTGATGAATGCATTGTCCAATATAAAGTGAAACTACAACCTTGTATGTGGAGTCGTGAACAAAGTTCTACTTATGACGGAAAACTTAAATAGGTGAAATTGATTCTTGGCTCAAGTTCTGAAGTTTATGGAATTAACTGCTCTTCAATGTGCACTCGTATTTTTTCAAGTTTGTCATAGTCATGTTCTAATTTTTTTCCCTAGTTTTGTTTCCTTTTTCAGACTCAAGATGTCACGCCCCAGACCTACCCGGACACGTCAACAACCCGTCGTACAGTACGAATAGTCAACCGCAGTCCAACACATCCATACTATACAAGGCATCTGGAATATCATTTACACATAGTACATCCATAAACAAACATAATGTAAAATATTCGTTAAAGCAGCGGAAACAATATTACAAGTGTTCAAGCCACACTTGGCAAACTTTGGCATAAAAGCCCCCAAATAATTATTCAGAAAATTAATATCCATGAGCATTAATGTAATTGTTTTTAAAACAGAAACGGAGGAAGCACAAGCCAAGTCTTTCCTCCTTGATCTTCCCGAAGCAACGGGCGGTTGTAGCAACATTCAAGTTCTACCTGAAACTTTGAGGTGGTCTCCCCCGTGAAGTGGAGGTCAGTACTTTGAAGCATTTGAAAAGTACAATGACAACTACACTGAATATAATCAATGTTTCAATTTCTAAGACCCTCAATCTAGGGTGATATTATATTATAGGCCATAACCCTTGGTTACCATGTTTGAAAATATACTTAATTTATACAAAGTCAAGTAGACGGCTCGTAGGCCCATATTCGTTTAAAATTTACCCTTTCCATTCCCCGTGACCTCGAGCCACAACAACCCCATAGGGTTTCATCAAGCCCCGATTGTATAGCAAGGGCTCGGCCCAACTACATTTCTATACAATCCTCTAACTCAATTCAACACGTCACGATTGAATGGCAAGGGCTCGGCCGAACTACGTTTCCACACAACCCACAATTTGATGGCAAGGGCGCGGCCCAACTACGTTTGCATGAAGATCACAAATACATGGCAAGGGCTCGGCCCAACTACGTTTCCATGCTAATTACAATTACATGGCAAAGGCTCGGCCCAACTACATTTCCATGTAATCCTAGAGTCTGACTCTAATTTATTATCATAGTCCAGTTCTCAAGCAAATCATGTGCCTAGAATCCATTCACTTGGGTAGCCTTTAAAGCCTACCCCTATCATACTCTAGTTCTCGTATATTTCGACCTTAAAGTATCTCTTAGGACTACTTAAGGCATCACTATTCACAATCCAATCTCTTAAGATTAATTTCATTATTATTCGTATTAAATTCCCGACTAATATTTCAATACTAGTCGGATAATCTTAGAACAACCAAGTTCTTATCTCATAGTCAAACATTTTATTTCAATTGATTCACCAACCAAAAGTATGGTTTAACCTTAATATCAAAAATATCACTTTTATCCATTAATGAATTCCATACATGAAGTAAAAGTATATTTTATCACAATATTTCACAATTAATCTCATTATCATGCCATCATATTCATAACACATAATCATACACAATTTCTCTAAATTTGTATATCATGTTTCGTTTACTCATATGCAATAGTATTCTCATTTAGGCATTGTTAATAATCTCTAATAATCCATGAAAAATCACATTTAATACTTTAGGTAAACTTATGAAATTAACCCAACAATTATAAGCAATATAGTCAGTCATCATCACCTTGTGATGTGCTACAATAGTTGCCTTTCCTAAGCCCTTCGATCAATCCTCGTTTTAGGCCGATTGAAAGTGAAATTTCTGGACAGCAGCCAAAAGCCGGGCGGCTTTCGTGTTCTGCAGATTCGAGCAGCTCCCTATAAATGGCGGTTTCCGGCGATTTCGACTCCTATCGATTCATCAACTCTTCTATGTTAAATACCATCACTTTATATCAATATTCTACACTTTTAAATGTGTAGAACTCATGGTTTAATCCACCATATTATTTCTTAAAAATCATACACAATAAAAACTAGCTAAAGAGAACTAGTTAAGTTCTTACCTTTCTTCTAGCTATTTTTCTCTTGAGCTTCCCTTCCTTCTTGATTCCTCAAACACTGATTTTTGTAAGAGCTTATCCTTGAGCTCTTCCCCTCTATGGTTGGCAGAATGAGTGCAAGAAAGTGGGTGAAAGATGTCTTCTCACTCAACCTCCCAATAATGTATGGGAATAGGGACATGGGGTGTGAGTTTGTCTCCTAGGAGACTTCTCCTCTCAATCATCCGCACAAGCCAACTTGTGTGTTCCCCCTCCCTTATTATTTGAATCTAATTAGTGTGTAAAATATCCTAAGTGGGTGTATGAAATCTCTCTCAATTATTCCTGCTCAGACCCGGTCCAGCCAAGGTGCAACTGGTTCACCTGCACAGGGCCTCCAATCTTAAGAGGGCTTCCAATCTTAAGAGGGCCTCCAATATAATTTTTAATAACATATTACTATACCTAGGCCCAATAAGATTTTTTTTATCAAAAACCTATTGTCGGCGGCCCAACCGGGTGCTACTTGTGAAGCGCGTCTTGCTTGGGCCAATTTGGACTAGGTTTAGAAAATAGTAAAAATCCGTTTACGAATGAATTGGAAAAGAGTTGGACCTAGGAGTCGATCCTTAGTCCGGAAGGCAAAATAGCGGAGCTTCTACCACCAGGCCAAATAGAGCTTTTTGTTTTTCACTTCTCTTTAAACGTATTTATACCTTTTGTCATAAATTTTTTGAGTTAAACTGATTTTGCTAGTTCTTGCATTCTAATTACCAATAAAAAATGATAACAATTATAATATATGGAGTATATTACGGAGTATTCACTACAAAAAAACAACCTGTTTGTCATGGATTTTGTCACGGATTCCGTCCGTGACAAAGTTGTCACGGATTCCGTCCGTGACAAAGTTGTCACGGTCTTTGCACGGTATTGTCACGGAAACTGTTGTCACGGATATTTCCGTGAAAAAATCCGTGACAAACGACCTCCGGTGACCGGTAATTTACTCCGGCCAAAATTTATTACGTTCGGGCACTTTATCAGGGATGGATCCGTGACAAATCCGTGACAAAATTCAAAAAATATTTGTCACGGATGCATCCATGACAAGTTCCGTGACAAACCCCAATAATTGATCTTCCAGCGGCCATCTAATTAATTTTGTACGAAAAAGTTTTTGTCACGGATATTTCCGTGACAAAATCCGTGACAAAAAAATCTACATATACCACAGCATGGTTTCATTCGAGATACATCACTTTGAATTTCATCACAGTATAATACAATATATGTTGAATGATTGAAGGATGTAATCTATCAGTTTATCATTTTCACTGTTTATGCAAATAAGGTATGTCATTTGAATTATGTATTTTTTTTATTAAGTACTACCTCCGTCCCATTAGAAGGTTCATGTCCACTATTCGCATTGTCAACTTAAATCATTTTTAAACTTTTACTTTATAAATCAAATTTTTATCAAATTTACATTTTTTTATCAGGCTTTGTAGCGGTTTTAATGTAGTTTCTGAATATGTTAATTTTTTTTATCAAAACTAATCAGAGTGTGAACAAGGATTATGTTGTTTTATCGTCAGTCAAACATCGTAAACCGTTCACGGGAACCTTCTAGCGGGACGGAGGGAGTATTAATTTTTTCATTTTAAATAATTAAAATTTTGAAATTAGTGAGGTTGTTAATTTATTAACAATGTATTTAACCATAAACGTGATTTAGTTAAATTTAAATATACGTTAATCGAAAATGGATTACAAAATTATTAGGTTTTGTTTTTTTGACTAGTTATTAGGTTTGTTTATTATATTAGCAATTACTTTTAATGCCTAATTTAGGATTTATATATAGTGATTTAAGTTTGGATTGAAGCATTAGTTTAGTGTGAATTATTAGTTAATTGAAATGAGTTTGAATCGATAATATTAGGTAATACCGTTAATTTAGGATTTGAATTGATAATTTTATTAAGTATTAATTTTTTCATTTTAAATAATTAAAATTTTGAAATTAGTGAGGTTGTTAATTTATTAACAATGTATTTAACCATAAACGTAATTTAGTTAAATTTGAATATACGTTAATTGAAAATAGATTATAAAATTATTAGGTTTGGTTTTTTTGACTAGTTATTAGGTTTGTTTATTATATTAGCAATTACTTTTAATGCCTATTTTAGGATTTATATATAGTGATTTAAGTTTGGATTGAAGCATTAGTTTAGTGTGAATTATTAGTTAATTGAAATGAGTTTGAATTGATAATATTATTAGGTAATACCGTTAATTTAGGATTTGAATTGATAATATCAAATTAGTTAAACTTAAATATTAGTTGATTGAAATGGATTTAAATGTGAATAATTTGATTTTCATTTCATTTACATTTTTGTTAATTATTTATTGTGTATTATTAGATTTTCATAATTTTAGTATTCTGAATTAATGCCATTAACGTAATAATTTAGTGTATATTAGTGATAAAATCCTAATAATATTTGATTTTAATTTCATAATTTTTTCATTTTAAATAATTAAAATTGTTAAATTAGTGAGGTTGTTATTTTATTTAACAATATATTTATTTATAAACGTAATTTAGTTAAATTTAAATATTAGTTAATTGAAAATGGATTATAAAATTATTAGGTTTGTTTATTATATTAGCAATTATTTTTAATGCCTAATTTACTTAGGATTTATAGTGATTTAAGTTAGTATTGAAACATTAGTTTAGTGTGAATTATTAGTTAAATGTAAATATTAGTCAATTGAAATGAGTTTGAATTGATAATATTATTAGCTAGGTAATTAGTTAATAATTTAAATGATTAGTGTGTAATTACTTAATAATTTAAATGACTAATGATTAAATTTAGCTAGTGAACTTTAGTGAAATGTAATATATTAATGTTCCTAAATGTTAATTAATTATGATTCAAAAGTTAGTTAGTTGAAATGATTAATGTCACAAACATATTGCTTTTAGTTATGATTAATTATTGTTTATAATTTGTAGTTTTTTTAATACTAAATTAATATTTTTTGATTATAATATTCAGGCATTATGTATAGACAAAATATAAGTTGGATGTATGATAAACATGGCGAAAAAAAAGAGGAATGCGACCTCAATATTTTGAAGGAATTCAAGAGTTTATTAAATTTGCACTTGAACATAAGGATCATATGGATGGTGATAGAATCAGATGTCCATGTGTCAAGTGTAAAAATCTCAAATTTAAAGACCCAGATGAGGTTGTGTGGGATTTGTACGAAAAAGGTTTCGTTGACAATTATTACAATTGGACTTCTCATGGTGAACTTTTTGATTCATCACTTTTATCACAACCAGTAGGTTCGTCTCGTAACGTTCCTAACGAGATGAGTGGGTGGGGAGATTATGCTCAAATAAACTGGGACCAAAGAATGGTATATGATGTATACGGTGCCTCGACGTCTCAGTTTAACCCTCCACAACCCTTTAGCAATCCTCCTGAAGCTTCGACCTCGTATCAATCATATGCGGATGAAAATCCGAATTCTCATGTCCCTCATATTGAAGGTTTAGCTGAAAGATTTCAAGATGTTCTAAAAGCTGCCGATCAACCTCTGTATGCTGATTGTGAGGGATACTCTCAGCTATCCGCCGTTTCAGAGTTGATGAACATTAAAGCTGAGTACAATCTTCCAGAAACCTGCATGTCCAGACTGTTGCAAACCATTGAGGAATGATACCGCGTGACCATAGTCTTCCCGATTCATATTACCACATGAAGCAATTACTTTCTCAGTTAGGGATTCCTTGTATAGAAATTGATGTGTGCCCTAACGGATGTATGTTGTTCTGGAAGGATGATGAGACACTTGAGAGCTGCAAGCTATGTGGTGGAGAGAGATACAAACATGTTCCTCTAAAGAAAAAAAACCACGATATCGGTCTACATTGTCTAAGTTGTTTTACCTCCCACTAGCTCCACGTCTAAAGAGGATATATGCTTCAAATGCTACTGCGAGACACATGACATGGCATGTTGAGCACGAAACCAAAGAGGGTTTGATGTCTCACCCTTCTGACTGTGAAGCTTGGAGACACTTTGACTACTATCATCCTCAGTTTGCAATGGAGCCACGGAATGTGCTGCTGGGATTGTGTTCAGACGGATTCGATACTTTTGGAAAGTTTGGGAAGCAATTTTCATGTTGGTCAATCATGTTAACTCCCTACAATCTACCTCCCGACATGTGCATGAAAAGTCATTTCATATTTTTGACTTTAATTTGTCCAGGTCCCTCGGATCTTAATAAAAGGATAGACATCTATCTCCAACCCCTTATCGAGGAGATGAAAGAACATTGGGCCATTGGGACACCAACTTATGATGTTTCAAGAGATGAGATGTTTATCATGAAAGTTGGCATCATTTGGACCATTAGCGACTCCCTGCATATGGTATGCTTTCAGGATGGAGCACACACGGTCTTCTGGGATGTCTGATATGTATGGAGAAATCATGTGCCAGGTGGCTCAAATTCAACGGGAAACCAAGTTACTTTGATTGTCACCACAAATTCCTCCCGACAAACCATCGATATCGAAGGGGCACAAAATCTTTCATTAAAGGAAGAGTGGTACGAGACCCCCCACCCCCGAGACTTACAGGCAAACAAATTTTGAACAGGGTTCGACGTATTCCTTCGGCAGTGCAAGAGCCACACAAGGACCCACATGGGTATTGTATTACCCATAAGTGGACAAAGAGGAGTATATTTTGGGAGTTGCCATATTGGAAAGACCTTCTCATTCACCACAACTTAGATGTCATGCACATTGAGAAGAACGTATTTGACAATATATTTAACACGGTGATGGATTTCAAAGCCAAAACCAAAGACGGGCTTGCATCTAGAAAAGACATGACAATGTGGTGTGATAGACCGGAACTTTCTGTTGCTCTAGAACATACTAGTAATGTTCCAAAAGCAGTCTATCAACTCACAGAAGCACAAAAACAATCAATCTTAGAGTGGCTCGTGTCTCTAAAGTTTCCAGATGACTATTGTTCTAGCATATCCAGGTGCGTGGACATTGACAAACAAACCATGACGTTGAGCATGAAAAATCATGATGCTCAGGTTCAAAGACTTCTGTCGATTGCACTTAAAGAGATGCTTCCTGCAGACGTATGGGACTGTATTACCGAAATCAGTCTATTGTTTCAGTCAATATGTTCCACCGTTTTGGATGCTGAATCCCTCCGGAGACTAGAAGACTGTGTGCCCATTTTGATGTGTAATTTGGAAAAAAATACTGCCTCCATCATTTTTCGATGGAATGGAACATCTTATAATACATCTTCCGTATGAGGCTTTGAATGGAGGACCCGTCTTCTATTGTTGGATGTACAGATTTGAAAGGTTAGTCACCATTTCATTTATATTTGAAGATTTTTTAATAAGAACATTTGTTTGTTTACATTTTTTATTTTGCATGACAGATTCCTGAGAGAGCTGAAAAAGAAAGTGACCAACAAGGCACACATTGAGGCTTCAATTTGTCAAGCATACATTCAACAAGAAATCTCAACGTTTTCATCTTTTTACATTGAGCGTGAAGTCATCACTAAAAGAAAGAGGCATGTCCGGAACGATGACATTGGTGAGGATGCATATGACAAAGTAGTTTCCATTTTCAATTACCCAGGTAGAGGTAAAGGAGCTGCGACTCACCGTTACATCGTGGGTGGAGAACTTCAAATTGCACACACTTACATCCTAATGAATTGTCCAAAAATCATACCGTTTTATAAGTAAGTTAAATTTATTATTATATTCGTAATAAAGCAATAACTTTCACCAAGAGTATTATAATATCTTTACGTTTGAATTCACAGTGAATTTAGAGCGTCTTTATCAGCATTTTCTGATGATGCAATTGATGCATTGGTGGACTCTGATTTTATTGCATGGTACAAATATCAGGTATATATATACATTATATATACTATTAGCTAATAATTTTTAATAATTACCTAATGCTATCATGTTTTGATTTACATATCAACTGTCGTGGAATTGACGACCCTCTGTTAGTATCATTAATGTGGGGTCCTTCTTCCTATGCAAAAGTTTGGCATTCCTATGTGATAAATGGTTACACCTATCACACAGTCGAATATGGACAAGACAGACCAACAATGAACAGTGGGATATGTGTCCCAACCATCGGTTCAGATAACTCGGAAACCAATTTTTATGATTTGTTGCACAAGATTCTCGAACTTCAATTGCCTTCTGGTGCGAAAGAATTGAAATGCGTTTTGTTCCGCTGCAAATGGGTCGATCCTACAAGTGGTGTGAGAAAAAATTAAAAGTATAATATAATTGACGTCAACCACTCTCGCGTGTATCGGAAAAATGAACCTTTTATACTCTGTCAACAAGCAGCTCAGGTTTATTATGCAGAGTATCCTTCAATCAGGCGCACACCGAGTCCTTGGGTGTGTGCATGTGTAAGGAATATTTGTAATTAGATTTTGATGATGCTATATTAATTAGGACTTTAGAGTACCCCTCTTTAGATTTCATGTATTAGAATTTTCCTTGTAAAGTTCCTTAGTATAATCAACAAGCAGAAGGCCTCCAGAGCAAAAGGCCTCCAGAGCAGAAGGCCTCCAGAGCAGATGGCCTCCAGAACAGAAGACCCCCTGACAGAGGACCCTTGATAAGGCTTTGTTTTAACAGAAGACCTGTGGTTCTCTGTTCCAGAACAGAAGACCTCAGGGTCTCTGTTAGCCTTTACTCGGACAGAAACCCTCCTGGTTCTCTGTTGGATATTTCTCCAACAGAAGTGCTCAAGACCTTCTCTGATCAACTCTCTGCTAAAGACACCAGAAGGCCTGACACTTGGAAGAATTTCCCCAAGCCAGTAAACCAACTAAAGATTCCTTCAACGACTAGGAGTCTTGAACGGAAAAGCTACAGTGCGCGCATTAAATGCACATTTAATGCCTTCCATACTCTGTAGAGTAAATGCAGATGATTGGCCGCAATGTCAGAATAGCTTTATCCCAAAATAGTAACCCGCCAACTTTGCCGGGTCCTACTGGTCAAGTCAACTGCTTGCTCATTTAATGCAGTTGTCCTCTTTCTCCTCCAACGGGAAGACAACCTCAGTATAAAAGATACACTACGAAGAAAAACCAATAAAAAAAACTTTTTGCTACAACAGTGCACATACAAAATATTCAAACGCTAAAAACGCAAAAAGCCTCCTTGAGATTTGATATTCATGTAATTTCCGATTGTATGTTTGTATTTTTAACTAGTTTTTATTAGTTCTAGTTGAGGAAATTACACACTTTTGGTGTAATACTTTATTTTCATATTTATTTGTAATTTGTTTAGATTAGGACTTTTCTAAGCTAAACAGGTCAAAGATCATCCAAGGGATCAAGATTGGACCTTAAAAGATCAAGGAAAGTGCAAGGAGGCAAGAAAGATTTCGATTTGGAAAAAATACTCATGTACCCGGTCGGGTATTGCCTATACCCGATCAGGTATTTGTTTGATTCGATTGTCCAAATCAAATTTGGGAACAAATGATCGTGGGAGCAAGATTTCGTTAAGATTTGTCACATACCCGATCGGGTATGCCGACATACCCGGTCGGGTATGCCACTTTTCTGGAAATTTCCTAAGATACCCGCTCAGGTATCCTATATACCCGGTCGGGTATCAGCCCCTGCAGCTCTCAAAAGCCTATAAATACACCCCTTTCCTTCACAATAAAACCACCAATTCACATATACTCTTTAGCTCAGTTTAGTTAAGTATTTCCTTTATATTTTTAGCATGTTTAGTCTCCAAATGAGGAGCTAAACTCTTCCATCTTAGTTTTGCTACTTTGAAGCTTAATGAATTTGTAAGTTGTGAGTTATTCTCTTTAATTTTCTTCCTTGAATATTAATTCTTCCTTTAAATACTATTTCTATATCAATGTTGGGGAGTGTTACTAAGATGACAATTAGTTAACAACTTGACATTAGTTATAGTAATAGTTATTTCTTCCTCTATGTTAATATTGGGGAGTGTTACTAAGATGACAATTAGTTAACATCTTGATATTAACTATAGTAGGATTCATACTCTTTAATATTCTTCCTTGAGTATTAATTAATTTCTATTCATATTTCATATTAATATTTTGAGCATTACTTAAAGGATCAACTAGTTTTGTTTCATATATTAATTATTTTTAGAATCAATCGGTTAATACGCTTGTTATTAATTCGGTTCCTTCAACGGTAGTAAACTTGGATTATTAATGCATGTGTCTCATGGTTAATAATCTAAGGGGAATTAATTATATTGATTAAACCGATAAACCGCTTGTGTTGAAGTTATCAATCTCAATCGTTTTAATCTCAAGTTTATTACTACTATCGTGTGAATATATGGCGCGTGTTCTATATTAACTCGGTAGTAAATTTTATTAATGAACGCGTCTCGTTATTAATAACTTCCCTCGATGAACTGGATATACTCCTCGATTGAGTATTCGAGAGGAAGATAGTTAAAGATATAACCGGGATCGACGAACATTTCATTAAGTGGATAAAAGCAAAACCAAGTCCTCATCTCTATAAATTAAACTCATATAAGTCGTTCATCTTAGTGTTAATTAAATTAAATCAAATCAAACTTCAAACCCCCCTTGTTACTATTCACATAAAAGAAAAGTATTCTTTTTCCTGTGGATACGAACCTTACTTCACTTTACTACGTATTAGTGTTGTATTGTAATTATTATTTTGAGTGCACCTCACGACAAGTGCACGTCAAATTTGGCGTCATTGCCGGGGAAAGGCAATTATTTTCTTTTATTTTAAATCAAAAAATAAAAAAAATAAAATAATATATATATATATATATAAATTACTTTTCTGTTTTCTGAGCTTGCATGAGTATATGGATACCAACACATCATCCTTAGAGAGTCAAATTTCCGTTTTGGCTTCTCTCATAAAGGAGTTTATCCTAAGCTCAGAAACTCAAGATGCCAAGACATGCGATATTTGCATGTCTCACAGGCATATTGCGGATTTTTGCCCAAAGCTCCAAGAAGAATACCTCGCACAAATTAATTATGTTCCTCACATGAGGTATGATCCATTCTCCAACTCTAACATGTCTACGGAGGACATGGTTCGGGCTCTTACTAACAGCGTGACCACCATGCAACAAAACATGGTGCAATTCCAAAATGAGACCAAGTCTAGCATTTTGAACTTGGAATCTCAAGTGAGTCAAATAGCCGGAGCCGTAAGTAGGCTTGAAGCAAGGGATTCAGGAAAACTTTCCTCTCAAATAGAATGTGATCCTAAACAGCAAACTTTTGCAATCACATTGACAAATGAGAAGGAAATGCAAGAGGAGATCCAAAATCCAGAAGAAGTAGAAGAAGAAAGAGACACGGAGCTCGAGCTGGTCGAAGAAGAGGATGAACCGTGTTTCAAGGTCAAATATCTATCCTTATCATTCTTTGAGGTACCCCCAACAGTTCTAAAAACTTCGAGGGAAACTCATAAAATTGAAAAGGATAAAGACATTTTTGAAATCTTCACAAAAATTGAGAGATCAAAACATCATCCATTGATCATGTTAATCGATAATTTCTTTCCCTCACTCTCACCACATGAATCAATGGAAATCTCGATATTTGATCCTGGAAAGATTTTCGAAGTGAAGAGTCAAAATAGTTATCATGATCCAAGCTTGAACGATTGAACACAATGATGGCGTCGTGTCGCGACGTTAAACGAGGCGCTTCTTGGGAGGCAACCCAAGCAAAGGTACATATTCTTTTCTCCCTTGTAGTTTTCATTTCAAAAAAAAAGTAGGGGCACCATACCTGATCGGGTGTCACGTACTACCCGGTCGAGTATAAACAAAAATATAAAGGGTGAAGCTCGGGTAACCAAATACTCGATCGACTCAGGGGTGGAAAATTATGAAGTACCCGATCGGGCAGCTCCATATACCCGGTCGGGTATGTTAATTTTTTTTCTGGGAATATGTTCGCACCAAAACGCCCGATCGAGTATACCCCAACTCGGTCGGGTAGGACCCCGGATTTTGAAGAAACACAGGCATACCCGATCGGGTATGTCAAGGTACCCGGTCAGGTACACGGTCTTTAAACCCGAATTAGCCACCCAAAACACCCATTTCATCTTCCCCAAACCTCCAATTTCGAAGTTTCTTTCTCCCATTACTCCCTCAAATCTCCACCAAATCTTTCCAAACCAACGCCAATATCTTCACCACATTTCCCTCTACACCCCATATCCATCAACACCACATTTTTCCCCAAAAAACTCAAGTCCAAAAATAATGCCTTACGCCCTCCCCCAAGTCCGAAATTTGTAACTCAAAATTCAAAGCATCAAGCGAAAATGGCACCAAAGAGAACAAGGGGTGAGAGTATTTCATCTAGAGCACCGGTCAGCCCAGTTATGATGGAGACGAGCACTAGGGACAGTGCTTCAAGCTAAGTGAGGGGGAGTCACTCATCGGTGCGTACTTAAGTTTGATACCTTGTAAACTAGCATTATTTTCTTCGCAAAAAAAATGAAATGCTAGTTAGGTTGAAAACCCAAAAAATGGGCAATCTAAGCAAAAAAAGGCTTACAAAAAAAATGATGAGTGAGTGGAGAGGTGTAAAAATAAAAGAGATGCTAGGATGAAAACCTGAAAAGGCTCCTAGGAAAAATGAGAGATATGAGAGATATATATTTGTTTTTACAGGACATCATTTAATCTCGTGAAGATGAAAAGAGGAGATGAGCATAGAAGGCCATGAAACCCAAGAAGATATTATTCTTTGAGCTAAACACTCAATGTAAAACCCATATGTTATCCTTGGTGGTCTTTTGCTTTTTCTGGTTGATTGTTGAACTTTTGAGGACTTGGAACTGTTAAACATTTGACTTTACTCGAGGATGAGTAAAGAAGCTAAGCGTGGGGGAGTTGATATTCATGTAATTTCCGATTGTATGTTTGTATTTTTAACTAGTTTTTATTAATTCTAGTTGAGGAAATTACACACTTTTGGTGTAATACTTTATTTTCATATTTATTTGTAATTTGTTTAGATTAGGACTTTTCTGAGCTAAACAGGTCAAAGATCATCCAAGGGATCAAGATTGGACCTTAAAAGATCAAGGAAAGTGCAAGGAGGCAAGAAAGATTTCGATTTGGAAAAAATACTCATGTACCCGGTCGGGTATTGCCTATACCCGATCGGGTATTTGCTTGATTCGATTGTCCAAATCAAATTTGGGAACAAATGATCGTGGGAGCAAGATTTCGTTAAGATTTGTCACATACCCGATCGGGTATGCCGACATACCCGGTCGGGTATGCCACTTTTCTGGAAATTTCCTAAGATACCCGCTCAGGTATCCTATATACCCGGTCGGGTATCAGCCCCTGCAGCTCTCAAAAGCTTATAAATACACCCCTTTCCTTCACAATAAAACCACCAATTCACATATACTCTTTAGCTCAGTTTAGTTAAGTATTTCCTTTATATTTTTAGCATGTTTAGTCTCCAAATGAGGAGCTAAACTCTTCCATCTTGGTTTTGCTACTTTGAAGCTTAATGAATTTGTAAGTTGTGAGTTATTCTCTTTAATTTTCTTCCTTGAATATTAATTCTTCCTTTAAATACTATTTCTATATCAATGTTGGGGAGTGTTACTAAGATGACAATTAGTTAACATCTTGACATTAGTTATAGTAATAGTTATTTCTTCCTCTATGTTAATATTGGGGAGTGTTACTAAGATGACAATTAGTTAACATCTTGATATTAACTATAGTAGGATTCATATTCTTTAATATTCTTCCTTGAGTATTAATTAATTTCTATTCATATTTCATATTAATATTTTGAGCATTACTTAAAGGATCAACTAGTTTTGTTTCATATATTAATTATTTTTAGAATCAATCGGTTAATACGCTTGTTATTAATTCGGTTCCTTCAACGGTAGTAAACTTGGATTATTAATGCATGTGTCTCATGGTTAATAATCTAAGGGGAATTAATTATATTGATTAAACCGATAAACCGCTTGTGTTGAAGTTATCAATCTCAATCGTTTTCATCTCAAGTTTATTGCTACTATCGTGTGAATATATGGCGCGTGTTCTATATTAACTCGGTAGTAAGTTTTATTAATGAACGTGTCTCGTTATTAATAACTACCCTCGATGAACTGAATATACTCCTCGATTGAGTATTCGAGAGGAAGATAGTTAAAGATATAACCAGGATCGACGAACATTTCATTAAGTGGATAAAAGCAAAACCAAGTCCTCATCTCTATAAATTAAACTCATATAAGTCGTTCATCTTAGTGTTAATTAAATTAAATCAAATCAAACTTAAAACCCCCCTTGTTACTATTCACATAAAAGAAAAGTATTCCTTTCCCTGTGGATACGAACCTTACTTCACTATACTACGTATTAGTGTTGTATTGCAATTATTATTTTGAGTGCACCTCACGACAAGTGCACGTCAAGATTAAATCTTCACTATCTTCTACAAGAGAAGGCAGACGTTGGAAAGCTTCCTACTTCCAACTCAAGCAAAGTTCTCATCGTTCTTCAACTCTTCAAGCACTTCATATACAAACCTTTTGTAACGAAGCAAGTTGGAGGAACCCCTGTTTTTAACAGAAACTCTTCTTTCACAAGAAGGACGTCCAAGTACCTGGAGCAGTGAAGTGGTGATACTTCCGGAAAAGCTCAGTGAAAGGACCAGTCTTAGAGAAGCCAGAAGTGCATCCAAGGAGACATCTACACTTGAAGAAGATGTGGA